TGATTTTGATGATTGGAATACCTTTTGAACAGGCAGAAAGGATGAGCTGTGCAGGAAAAGTTACTCAAGGAAGGCCTTTACAAAACCGGTCATTCCATTGGTAGTTTTCCCCTCTATTTGGGTTAGGGGTGTTCACCAGGTTAGGGTTTGGGTTAAGAAGACGAGGTGTCCTGTAATTACTTGGTGATTGGAATGTATTTAGAATGGGCAGAAATGAAGGGAAGTGCAGGAAAAGTTAGTCAAGGAAGGCCTTTACAAAATCGGCCATTGCATTGGTATTTTACCCTTCTATTAGGGTTAGGGGTGTTCGCCAGGTTAAGGTTAAGACAACGAGTTGTCCTGGAATGATTTTGATGATTGGAATGTGTTTACAATGGGCAGAAATGAAGAGCTGTGCAGAAACATCTACTCAAGGAGGGCTTTTTCAAAGTTGCCCCTTTTAATGGAACTGTACTCCTCTATTTTGATTAGCGGTTTTCACCAGGCTAGGGTTAGGGCTAGGAAAACGAGGTGTCCTGGCATGATTTGGACGGTTGGAATACCTTTTGAACGGGCAGAAATGATGAGCTGTGCAGGAAAAGTTACTGAAGGAAGGCCTGTACATAATCGGCCATTCCATTGGTATTTTCCCCCTCTTTTAGGGTTAGGGGTGTTCGCCTGGGTAGGTGTAGGGTCAATAAAACGAGGTTCCTGGTATGAATTTGACGATTGAAATGTGTTTACAATGGGCAGAAATGAAGAGCTGTGCAGAAAAATCTACTCAAGCAGGGCTTTTTCAAAGATGCCCCTTTTAATGGAACTTTACTCCTCTATTTTGATTAGCGGTTTTCACCAGGCTAGGGTTAGGGTTAGGAAAACGAGGTGTCCTTGCATGATTTTGATGGTTAGTATACCTTTTCAACGGGGAGAAATGATCAGCTGTGCAGGAAAGGTTACTCAAGGAAGGCCTTTACAGAACCGGCCATTCCATTGGTATTTTTCCCCTCTATTCGGGTTAGGGGTGTTCACCAGGTTAGGGTTCGGGTTAAGAAAACGAGGTGTCCTGTAATTACTTTGATGATTGGAATGTATTTAGAATGGGCAGAAATGAAGGGAAGTGCGGGAAAGATTAGTCAAGGAAGGCCTTTACAAAATCGACCATTGCATTGGTATTTTACCCTTCTATTAGGTTTAGGTGTGTTCACCAGGTTAGGGTTAGGAAAATGAGGTGTCCTGGCGTGATTTTGATGGTTGGAATGGATTTAGAATGGGCAGAAATGATGAGCTGTGCAGAAACATCTACTCAAGGAGGGCTTTTTCAAAGTCGCCCCTTTTAATGGAACTTTACTCCTCTATTTTGATTAGTGCTTTTCTCCAGGCTAGGGTTAGGGTTAGGAAAATGAGGTGTCCTGGCATGATTTTGATGGTTGGAATGTCTTTAGAATGGGCAGAAATGATGAGCTGTGCAGGAAAAGTTAGTCAAGGAAGGCCTTTACAAAATCGGCCGTTACATTGGTATTTTTCCTCTCTTACTGGGTTTGTGGTGTGCACCAGGTTAGGGTTAGGAAAACGACGTGTCTGGGGATCATTTTGATGCTTGGAATGTGTTTAGATTCGGCAGAAATGATGAGGTGTGCAGAAAGGGTTATTCTAGGAGGGCTTTTTCATAATCACCCCTTTTAATGGAACTTTACTCCTCTGTTAGGGTTTGGGGTGTTCACTATGGTAGGATTAGGGTTTGGAAATCAAGGTATCCCAGGCTTGGGAAATCGAGGTATCCTCCCCTTTCCTCCCGCCTAGGCCTCAGTGGCTCATCGCAGATCGGTGCGCTCATCCACAATTGCATTGCGCATGAGCGAGGTGCTGGTGCAGACCGACCTTGCACTGAGCATCAGCACTAGCAGGCCGGAGGTCTGGCTGATGCGGCTGCGTGGTATCCTCTGCTGGACAGAGAAGTGGAGGAGGGGACAGCTGCTGGGCATCTCTGCCCTCTTCTCCTGTGCCGGCATGCTCTGACCCCATCACCGTCACACCCCCTCCCCAGTTCTCCTGCAAGGGCTGCTCCCCACACTTTCCCCCGTCCCCCAGATTCATGCCACAAACCAGTCCAACCCCCTGAAATGAAGGCGCCCCTCCTGCCACCCAGTGCCAGCCTCAGCGCTGGCTGGGAGAAAAAGTTAGCACACTGCATTCACGTAACCTGCACTTATCTGCCACATCCAGTCAGCACTGCGACCCCCAAGCAAGGACTGCACATTTCAAGTGGCGGCCACCTCGGCCCCTCCTGTTCCACGGCCTTGGCGGGGGCAGAGACAGAGGCGCCCTCAGCCAAGCAGCCCGGAGCAGCTTGGCACTGCAGGGATGTGGCCAGTGGGATGAGGCCCACGGGCTGGTACCTGCTTCCGGAGCAGAGGGGGGATGCCCTGCCCAGGCCGGGGGCCCGTGCGCAGCGTGCAGTGGGCCGCCTGGAAGCGGCCTTCCTCGCCCATCTGCAGTGTCCTCTTCGCTGGCCTTGCCTTAGCAAGCAGGCCAGGGCAAGCGGAGTCTGCAAATGCCCACAGAACAACAGCTGCACAGCCGGGAAGGATGGTGCTCCTTACACGGCATTTGCACGCACATGGATTCCCAGTGAGCATTGCACACATGCTCAGCACGCTCAGCCGAGGAAGCAGGCTAGAGTCCCATGAGTGCAGCCCCAGAAAGGTCCCGGACGGATTCCTTGCCCATCCCTACCCATCCGCTTCCACCTGCGAGTCTGAGGGCTGGAGCAAGGAGGAGCATCTGCGTGTGCCACAGGCTGACCACAGTTGTCGCCCGCCACTTTTGGTATTTCAGGGAAATGAACAAGCGGTTAACAGATGAGCAAGCTCGGAAGACATTTGAGAGAGCCATGAAGCTGGAACAAGAATTCACCGAGCATTTTACAGGTTGGCTGCCCCCCTTGCTCTGCAGTGGCCAGGGGAGACTCTCCCCAGGGGGGCTCGGGGGGGTCCACAGCTAGCACCTTGTAAGTGGGGGAGCAGCTGGAGCACTGCCCAGAAGGGCGGCCCCAGCATCACTCTGCAGTTGCCCTCTGTGGCTCCAGGCAGAGCGGCTCTGCAGCAGCCCGTGTGGCCGGGCTGGGGTGGGAGGCCCGCGGGTGGGAGGGCCACGGCCTCACGAAGCCTCTCGCTCTCCCTCCGCAGCCATCGTGCAAGGCGACACGCTGGAAGAGGTTTACAATCAGGTCAAGCAAGTGATCGAGGAGCGCTCCAGCCCCTGCATCTGGGTCCCAGCCAAGGAAAAGCTGTGAAGGCGGCCCGGCTCGCCTGCGCTGGGCATTGGATGGACTCTGTCCCCCGTTGGGCTTCCCTCCTCTTGGCAGCTCCTCCTGGAAGTGCAGCGCTGGGCCGCACCGCCGGGTGGCGCCTCGCACTCGAAGCCCCTGCTGCACTTCCGCCGCCTTGATCTCGCCAAGTGCTCCGACCAGCAGGTTCCTTGGGCACTGGGGACTGGGGGCAGTGGCTAGTTCTGCCCGAGGGGGCACAACGTGGGAATTTTGTGGTAACCTCCTTAATGTTTAAGGGAAAGCATCGTTCGGAGATTTTGAGAAAACAGAGCTTTATATATGTCAATGTAAAGGTTTCCTAACATGAAAAAAAAGTGGTCTTAATGACGTCAATGTGAGCAATTTTGCACGCTTAACTTTACTAGCATGGTTTGATTCAAGGGGATTCGGTTCATGATTTAGTTTCATAGTTTTCTGTTGTTGCCAGCAAATATATTTTACATGCAGTTCGATAAGAAACTTTTTCAAATGTCCAAGATAATATATGCTTAACTGGCATTGTTTCACAAGGGAAAACTCATTTTCATAATTTCATATAAATACCCTTTGTAGCCTATTTTTTCATTTTTTGCTGATGCCATTATACTAGAGAGGAAAATATCTCCTATTTTTAAACTGGCACATAAAAGACTATTTGGAATGTCTTACAGATATTGTTGATAGAGAACAGTTACTGCATTTTGACTCCAAATACCATTTGGGTGCTTTAAAAGTTTGTACTTCATCTACCAATGATGGCTTTTGTTCTGAAAATATTCTGAAAGATTGTTATCACTATTAAGGTCGTAAAAGTCTGAAAGTATAAATATGTTCTTAGAAGTCAGATTTTAATGAATATTTTACCCACAATAACTGCCTATTTTGTTATAATAAAGCATATTATATACATATATATATATATATATATTAAACTTTCTTTAACTAAAATGTGACTGTGAGAATTTTTTTCTTGACATAACTACATGCAAACATTTCTGTCCTTTTTACAACTTCGGAACATAGTTCTGCGATCAATATTTGAAGCCATGTGGGACGCAGTGGCAGTTGCTGCCACCCAGCTGTCAACAGGTTGTTCAGTTTGACCCACCAGTTTTGCCCTTGGGATGTGCACCTCGACAGGAAGAACAGCTCACGGGTGCCTCCCTTGTTTTGTGGTGCTCTGCTCTGTGGAGTTGTGATCACCTAAGTTTGCTCGTTTTGGGGACCCATCCGTGAGATGCTCCCCAAGCAACCTCAATTCAGTTTCACGAGGCTGGCTGCTTGGCTTTCATTTGTACAGAACTTTCATCTGCGGCCATCTGATTTCTCAGAAAGAGGACCGCTAATATTTAATTAATTTCTAGGCCACCAAAGGGCTAAAGCCCTCAGGGTGGTTCTCAATAGCATCTTAATAATACAATATAAAATACACCATATTAAAGTATACTACAACAACATAAAAATTTGCAGTACAACATTTAACACTGAATGCAAAACATTAAAAATATAATAACTGAAGAAAAAGTTCTATTTAAGACCTGTTTAAAAAAACAGCAGATCTCAGTAGACTAATGCCTTACAGTAGAAGACAGTCCTGGCATCAGAAAGATAGTGAAGTTGGTGTCTGGCAAATCTTGGTGGAAAGTTCATTCCAAAACTCTTGGGGGGGGGGGCTCAGTGGGGGGACCACTGAAAAGGCCCTTCTCCTTGTTGCCAACATCCAAGCCTCCCTCAGCCAAGGCAGTTGGTTGTAGGCCCCAGAACTCGATCATCGTTGCTGCTGTTGTTGAATGTGCTGTTGTGATTTAATTTCTGTACTTTCCAACAGCTGTAGCTCTTCAAGCAGTTCACAACAGCACATTAAAAATAGAATAAATTTGTTGTTGCTAGTCACGAAGTTGTGTCCAACCCTTTGCAACCCCATGGACAACACTCCTCCAGGCCTTCCTGTCCTCCTCCATCCCCCAGAGTCCACCTGAGCCCACGCCGACTGCTTCAGTGACCCCATCCAGCCACCTCATCCTCTGCCGTCCCCTTCTTCTTTTGCCATCTATTGTTCCCAGCATTAGGCTCTTCTCCAGGGAGTCCTTCTTTCTCATTAAGGTGGCCAAAGTATTGGAGTTTTATCTTCAGGATCTGGTCTTGTAAAGAGCAGTCAGGGTTGATCTCCTCTAGGACTGACCGGTTTGATTGCCTTGCGGACCAGGGGACTCGCAGAAGTCTCCTCCAGCACCACAATTCAAAGGCCTCAGTTCTTCGGTGCTCGGCCTTCCTTATGGTCCAGCTCTCTCAGCCATATATTGCAACTGGGAAAACCATAGCCTTGACTATATGCACTTTTGTCAGCAGGGTGATGTCTTTGCTTTTTAGTATGCTGTCTAGATTTGCCATAGCTTTCCTCCTCAGGAGCAAGCGTCTTTTAATTCCTTCGTCGTGGCCTCTGTGCATCACACATATGGGTTCTGTGCCTGCGCAGTTGCTTTGGCCGGAAGATTGATAGCTAACAGTTTCCTTTTCAGCGGGGACTCTGCTCCCCCTCCCCCCTAGCAGTATATAAGGAGCAGAGTGACCGCCATTTTCAGTCTTTGCGACCGCCGTTCACTGTGCCTTGTGCCGCTTCGCTCTCGCTAAGATTTATCACTTACCTCGTTCCTTGTTCGAAAATCCTTGCCCTTTTCTCTTACAAGTTGTATCCCTTGTTCTTGTTGTTACTACCTCACTTATATTTCTTAACGTGCACTATTTTTTTTTCTTCTTCTTATCGTTCCTAAAAAAAAAATATTACTTTCCCGGTTTACTATCTTCTTTCTCTTCAAATGTCTATGATGGCGCAACGGGCGGCGTTCCGCAAATGCGGAAAATGCGGCTCGAAAATGCCCGCAGCAGATCCGCATGATCTGTGCCTCCTTTGTTTAGGGGAGGGGCACAGAACCGATAAGTGCGGCCATTGTTTGGCCTTCTCAAACCAGGCGAGGAAAAATAGAACCGCCTTCGAAAACTCCTATGGGATCAGGCCCTTCTCCAATCTGACCGCCTGGTGGCTAAGTCTTCCACTGTTGTGGCCCCACCCGAAGGCCGTCCAACTTCGGCTGAGTTACCGCAATGCCCGGCCTCCTCCATTGCTCCGCCTTCACGCTCCTCTCAGGAGGGCACACATGCTATGGCCGACCAGCCTGTTTCCCTGCCGAGGAAACAAAAGGAGAAGAGAAAGCACAGTGATTCAGATAAACACCCTGTGCTTAAGAAGGCCGAGAAGGACAAGACGAGCAAACGGGCTAAAAAGCCGAGGAACCCCGAGCAGGCAAAACAACGTCATTCAGGCTCAGCCTCATCTTCGATCCCGATACCGGTCTCGGAACCGACTCCCTCGGTACCGAACATCCAGGAGGCTATGAGGGTCACCCCACCGGGTTCACCACGCCGGCTGGCTGTCGAACCCGTCATGGAATCGAGGGGTTCCATCTCTGATGGGGAAATAAGAGACTCTCCACCTAGAGCTCAATCACCAACCCCAATGCCGTTGGTACAGATGGATACTGATATCGCCATCTCCCCTCCAAGAAGCCATAGGAGCCATTCCTCGGATGCGAGATCTGACAATTGGTACCAATCTAGATACTCCTCCGTCCCGAGATGAGAAGAGTACTACTCTGCAGGCTGCTTCCCGACCAGGGAACGATCCTCGCCACCAGCCCACCGGGAGCGTTTCCATTCAACTCCCAGAGATGCCCCGAACGCCCCATCTAGAGAACGTGGCAGATCGGGGTCATCAGCTGAATCTTCCTCCAGTGTGCCTCCCCCTTACTGGATGGAATCTGAAGAGTCTGAGGCTGATTCAACCTCACCGGATGTGGCAGTTACGTCACAGGCACCAGGATCACCTGATGAACCCTATATGTCATTCAACGATCTCATGGCCAGATTAGTGAGATCGCTTGATATAGAAACCCACCAGCAGCCGGGACCGAGCATGGACCACTTTTATGATGTTGTTAGAGGCGAGCGATCCACATCCATTGCCTTGCTGCTTATTACAACTTTAAGACAGGCAATGACCCAACCATGGGACCTTCCAGTTCAGCCGCAACCGACTTCACGGAAATATGAGTCGATGTATCGGGTGCGAGAGGAAGACATCCCGTTTCTCCTCCGCCACCCGAAACCAAATTCGGTTGTGGTGGAATCATCGCAGGGTCGGGAGGCCCGTGGACATACCTCGCCTAGAGATGAGGGCAGAAAGGTTGATTCCCTTGCCCGTCGAGTCTACGCAGCATCGGGCCTGGGATTAAGGATCTCTAATTATGAGGCCACCCTGGTGTGTTACCAATATTTTTTGATGCAACGCCTAGATGCCATCATAGATACGATGCCAGGAAACCAAGGTGAACTTGCAAAAACCTTTGTTAAAGAAGCGATGCAAGTCGCTGTGCAACAGCTTTCCACTGCAAGGCACCACGTAGACTCGGATTCGAGGTCGCTGGTCGGGGCCATTTCCTCCGCAGACACGCCTGGTTGCGTAATTGCAACTTCCCTGAAGAAATGAAGCGGAGAATTGAAGAAATGCCGTTCGACGGATCCGGTCTCTTCCACACAAGAACGGACAGTAAACTGAAGAAGATTCATGAGTCCCGCATGACCACTCGTCGTATGGAGTAAAATCTTTACCTAGACGTGAGTGGTCATGGTCACGCCCGCAATACCGTTCGCAATTTCCGCTTCGGCAACAACAACAGCAACAACGTCACCAGCGCCGCAGGCAGCAACCACCCCAGTGCTTCCAACAGGGCCGCCGTAGATTCGATACGGACAGGCGACAGCGTTGATGTGATGAGCGAACCGTTCCTCTCTTCCCATCTTTACCCTTCCCTCTCTCATTTGGGGATCGACTGAAGAGTCAACTCTCCATTTGGGAGTCAATCACATCTGATGGATGGGTATTATCTGTCATCCAGCACGGATATGGAATCGAATTCGATGTTGTGCCATCTCCGAGTCCTATCCGATATACTACGCCTTCTTTGGTGCTGTTAGACAAGATTCAACAACTTCTCGTTAAGGGAGCTATTCGTCGCCTCTTGTTATCGGAAGGACTCCATGGATTCTATTCCAGATACTTTACGGTTCCAAAACGTGATGGAGGTCTTAGACCAATACTGGACTTGAGAGCTCTTAATAAATTCATTACACCAAAGAAGTTTCGGATGACCACGCTTCCAAGTATTCTTCCGCTACTGGGAAGAGGGGATTGGTTCGCTTCATTGGATCTAAAGGACGCTTATTTTCATATTTCAATACACCCAAGTTATAGGCATTTCCTACGCTTTGCGGTAGACCAGGAAGTTTATGAATTCAACGTTCTACCATTTGGATTGGCCACGGCACCAAGGGTTTTCACGAAGTGTATGGCCCCTGTGTGTGCACACCTTCGGCTGTGCGGGATTCGAATCTACCCGTACCTTGACGATTGGTTGCTTGTTGCCGATACGGAAGCTGGACTGGCGTCTGCTATTGAACTTACATGCGCTCTGTTGCACGACCTTGGACTTTGCATTAACCGATGGAAATCTTCCCTTGTCCCTACGCAGGTGATCAATTTTATCGGAGCTCGACTGGATTCAATGTCGGCAAGAGCCTTCCTTCCTCGAGACAGACGATATGCGATCGTTCATCGCATTGCTCGAATTCGGCAAGCAAGAACAGTTTCCGCCCGATCTAGTCAAAGCCTTTTGGGGCACATATCTGCTGCCATCGCTGTGGTCCCTCATGCCAAACTACGGCTACGTCCCCTTCAACTGTTCTTCAACAAACTGTTTCAGCCACAGATAGACCCTCCTACCAAACGAATCCGACTATCGGCTTCAGTTCTCCAATCCCTGCTATGGTGGATGGACTCAGCCAACTTAACCGTCGGCGTTCCATTTCAACCTCGGTACCCCACAGTAACCCTC